TTTCAAATTATTTGTCGTGGCTATTATCAGTCGGAAAACAGAAATCCACTTAATATGTTAGACCTAATTGATGAAAACCAAATTTCTTCGACACCGATTGTTGTTTACACGAGAGATAAAAGTGGTGATGAGAGATTGTTGGCACAATCGCCAACTCAAGCTTGGCGACAGCGATTATTCATAACGGATAGTGCAGAAGCAGCATTCATCTATATTAAAAATGGTTGGAAGTCCGGTACATCATGACCGATGGATCCATTGAGACCTTAAGACTGCAAATGTATGTGGAAAAAGTCTGAAGGCTGGACTCTGTTAAAAATATATGTATTTGTAGTTAATCTTAAGAAAGAAAACTAATAGATATGTAACATGAAAAAGCTGTCTGAAGATCGGTAGCACGGATTTTGTTAAACCTCAGTATTTAAGGGTTTTGAGCGATGCTCTTTGGCATGGCTAACTCAAAATAGTTTTAAAACTTCCGGGAATAGGATTTCGAGAAAACCACACACCCACTTACAGAAAATAAGTTTTTTAAAAGAAAATAAGTTTCTTAGCCTTCAGCGCACATTTTCTAGGGTTTTTCAAAGGTTTTTGACGTTTTGCTACAATACGGTAGTTTTTTCTGTTCTGTAATGTACTATTTCATAGTTATACACACCTTTTCTTCTTATTAAAATGTCTGACAGCACCAAGATAAATCAGTTTTTTTTTACTACCCTGTCATGTAGTTTTGCTTCCATTTGTTTGAGTATAATAATAAGTATAAGTATAAAAAGAGAGTACTATGTCTGACTTAGGTGTTATAGCGAAATTTACTTTTAGTGATTTTGAACTGTTTATTAAAAATAAGTAGAATCAAATTTGTGGCGATGGAACGACGGATATGAAAAATAGTATGGTTCATGAAAAAGCTTATGCAGTGTACGCCGAAAGGGATCATATTCTTCGGATTGTTATCGATGGTGATGGTTCCACAACGTTACTGAACAGCGTATTAAATGGCATTTAATTATCAATTAATTACACCGTTTTCGACGTCTTGGGCTTGTGTTTGTTAAGGTCATATGTCTACAACTGCTACATTTAAGGGTACCCCGCGCTCTTTTTTTACCATCTTGGAAACCGGGGAGGCCGATGTCGGATCGGGTTCAAATTTATACCAGAGATAGAACATCGAAAAACAAAATCGACGTATTTTTGCCCAGAATTTTCTGACGTGTTTTTCTATGGGTTTTCTGGGAAACTCCAGTTTTCATCCAGTCACATTACGACCCCGAAAAAATGGTCCGATCGAGCTCAAAATTTTACCACAGATACTTAGATCCTATCTCAGGTTCGTTTTTTTTATTTTTGAAAAATATGCTTTCTTTGTCGAGATATTCGGAAAATACTGAAAATTCCATATAAAAAACTGGTTTTTCACTTTGAGAGCCCTCTCGCGCCGAAAGTTGAAATCGAAAACGCTTTAAAAAAAACGAAAAAATCTGTGGTAAAATTTTGAGCTCGATCGGACCATTTTTTCGGGTAGTGGCGGAGCCAGCTATGAGCGAGAGGGGGCTGAGCCTCCTCCAAAAAATTTATAGATTTCGAGCATTAAGTTAAATGACTTTACCTCTGGCGGAGTTTAGAAAATTTCTGGGCTAAGCACCCTCTAGATCAAACTTCTGGGCTAAGCACCCTCTAGATCAAACTTCTGGCTCCGCCACTATTTTCGAGGGGTCGTAACGTGTGCCAACTGAAGGGACTATTAAAAAACGCATAGTGAGAAAACACATATTGTACATATTATAGTGTACACAACAAAAAATTGCTCTTCGGTCTTTTAGCGGTTCTATTTTAGATTTTTTTCTCTCTAATTACATTGGAAATTATTCTATAATATGATAATAAAAGCAAGGTAAATTATTTTAAGATAAATCAACATTGTTGTTATATTTGAATATGATAAGTATTATTTCTAAAAGTTTGTGACATTTAATCACTTCACATATTCACAGCAGAATAAACTGTAGGTAACGGTGGATCGTCCAAGAACCAGGGGAGACTCAAACAAATTTCCAATACGCTCGTCGATTACCATACATCTACTATAGAATAAAAAAGTCAGAGAAGGCTCAAGTCTATAATGATTTCACCCCGTGTGAAATAGGTGTAGGTTAATGAGTTGTGACTTTTATAGAGTATAAATACGGTTATTTCATTGGTCACATATGTCGTCAAATAGAAATTCGCCATCTCTTTGAATGTAAAGTTGGCTATTGTGGTTGGCCACATAATTAGTGTTTAGTCAAAAAAAATGTTTGTTACAAAATTTGTTAAAAATCGAATAGTATCAAAGTTCTATCACTTGTCTCTTATAACTATCGAACAATACTTAATAAAACGTTCTTTGTAACTCTTTTATCTATGACAACCGTGGAAATAGAATAGAAAGTCAAGTTAACTACAGGTATTTTATCGAAGTTAGATCAATTAGATGCAAAATATGAAAAAACAGCGGCAATTAATGATAAATATTATCACGATTATTATTTTTGATTAACAAACTACACAAATTCGACAAAGTTCAAAAATCACACAGAATACAAATATAAATTGTTCGATATCGTATTAGACATGATAATCACGAAGGAATGTAATATGAAATTGTTGAAATTGAAACTATAGAAAAAATCCAACTAATCCAAATAATATTAAAGAGATTATAAATTTTATTCAAATATTTACCGAAAGTATTGGTTCGGAAACTGTTATGTTGACAGATGGAAAACTTGAATAATTCTTATTTAAACGTCGTTCTGAACATTTTCAAATCATAACTAAAAGTATATAACAAAAAGTCATGATTATGGAACGTTTATCGAGGCTAACATGTTTAATTGTGAATGTTACCTTTATCATTTTATTTCATCGATTTCATATTTTCTATACCATCTTTTCAATTTCAATAGTATCATTTCGTTGTAGATCTTGTTCGTGCACTTTGAAGAACAAAAAGCATGTCAAAGTTGTTTCTATTTCTTTTTGCTGTTGTTGTCTGTTTACAATTGACATTTGGAGAAGATAAAAGTCAAAAATTACAAATTGGTATCAAGAAAAAAGTTGAAAATTGTGATGTTAAATCGAAAAAGGGCGATCGACTTCATATGCATTACACAGTAAGTACATATATTAGCTGCAGAGTTAGTTCTGTTAATTTTTTTTTTTACGGTTTAGGGAACATTGAAAAAAGATGGCAAAAAATTGTAATACAACTCTTCAGTTATTTTCTCATTAAATATGCTGTTTTTTTCTATGTCTAGTGACAGTAGTCGTGATCGAGGTGATCCATTTGTTTTTACATTAGGAACTGGACAAGTAATCAAAGGATGGGATCAAGGCTTGTTGAAGTAAGAAAGCTTCTACTGTACGAATGTTGTTGTCTGTTGTTCAAAAAAAAACCTAAGAATGTTTGAGAATAATATTAAATAGAAAATGAATAGTATTTGGCTATTTAAAGTTAAATCAGTTTTGTTTGACCGCTAATCTGACTTTAAAGAGTCTTCTCTAATGCGTCTCTTTCATTTTAACAGTTAGATAAATTTGCATTTAATCTCCACATTCTATATCCTTTTCTTTTATTAACCAGTTTATTCTTCTCTTCTAGTATGTGTGTTGGTGAACAACGTAAGCTGGTAATTCCACCCGAACTGGGTTATGGTGACCGTGGTGCAGGTGAATCTATACCCGGCGGTTCAACTCTTGTATTTGATGTTGAACTACTCAAAATTGAGTCTGCAAGTGGAGATCTTTAAAAACTGTTTATCATTCAACAATATCCTCTAAAACACTAGAATAATACAAATTGTTTGTTGCTTACTTTTATTCTAATGTGCATGTGGATCAGTGTGTATCACCATTTAAATTTTTCTTTAAACATTTTATTGTCATTCAAGTTTGTTATCTGTTGTTTTTTTCTGATTTTATCTTTATTAAACTTTTTGTTAAATTTGGAGTTTTAATAAAAAAAAACACAAAACATCATTACATGTCAAAATTATTAACTTTACAAAAATAAAAAACATAGGACAGCATTTCTGACAAGAAATGTTTATCGTTCACAATAGAACGCGAACAAGAAAGATTAATATTTGTTATTATGATCAACGGTATGACAGTATCCATATTGTTATAGGTTCTTATTGGGATATAGAATTAATTATTCTTTCGAAAATAATTTTTCACATCTTCAACAAACGAAATAAATTCTAACAGGTAACAAGTTATGTTTAATAACATTTAATTACGAGTACAAATATATTTTGTGTTTTTTATAATTACAACTATAATCGAATATTGAATTGTATAATTAACAAATAAATGGTAATCGAGTAATAAGTAATAATTTTCATATTAGCAGCACTTTCAATTTGTACTGCTAATTTTTTTGTTATACAATTTGCTCCTACTCCCGTTGTATAACCAATACATTGTGTAAATTCGGTTTTACATAAATTGTCATTACAGTATTTCTCACATGGTACATTAGTACCATTTGATTTCGGCGTTGATGTATCACTCGAAAAACAGTTGGCGAGATTACAACATACACAGTGACAAGTAAAGGTAGTAGATATTGGTTGAATAACTAATAGTAGAATTGCTACCAAAGCTATTGATATCATGATCTAGGAATAAATTTTCTAATTCTCAGTGCGTACATACATAAATATAAATTATTCAAAGGATTTCTTTTCAAAAAATATTCTTTTCGTTCTTTTCATACAATAAAGAGAAAAGAAAAAAAATTCGTGAATCAATCGTTCTTTTCACAGTAAATCTAAAATAATTTACTTTCTTTTTTTTATTTGAAGATTGTGGAGTTGTATTAAGAAAAATATACAGCCTAAAACTATTAGACAAACCTTGCTAAATAAAGAATTAAATATCGAACAGTTACAACTGATCGTTTTTCTTTTTTTACAGAGTTATAATGTGAACACAATTCATATATTGACTTAATACTCTTTTACGTGGATCAAATGATGATTTAAAATATAATATGATGATCGAACATAGTATTCCTGATAAAAATCTACATCCGCCATCATAGAACATGTGAAGTAACCTGTCCTTTTTTCTTACTATCAAAAATACATTTATTTGAAGAAGAAAAGAAAAACTACCTTTGTTAA